CGCAGATGGTGTGCGCGGGGATGCCGTCCTTGCCGCGGCAGGTGAAGCCGGGCCGCACCAGGTACTGGGGGCCGGGGGAGCAGTGCTCCTGCTCCGCCTTCAGCCGCAGCCCGATCGTGTAGGCGGGGGCTCGGCTCCGCGTGGGGTCGTGTTGGTTGTAACCTGGGGGTGCGCGAGGGCTCGGTGGGATGTAGGACCCCCGGCCCCATCGCCGCGTCCCGGCCCCCCGCGGCCCCCCCGCGCCCCCCACTCACCGACGTTGCCGGGGAGCCCATACTTGGGGCCGGGGGTGTGGTACTGGGCGGAGATGGGCCCTCGGGGGCGGTGGGGTCTCCAGGAGCCCACCCAGCCGCTGTCGGACATGGCGAGTCCCGATGGAAGCGCCCCCTCCTCAGCCTGGCCCCCCGACCGGTACCCTCGGGGGGAGATGTGGGTGCCAGAGCCCAGCTGGCCACGGCGGGCGGTGTGGCAGCAGCGGTGCCGGCGTGCGGTGGTGGCACCGGCACCGTGATGACTGTGGCACTGAGGTGGTGCCACCGGCACCGGCACCGGCACCGCCGGCGGGGTGGCCGCGGTGTCACAATGGCCCGGCGCTTCCAGGGCTCCATCCATCCCCCCCCGCGCCGCCCCCCGGCACCGCCGCGCTCAGCACCCCGGGGCGGCCACGCGGGGAACGGCGGGGAAGGAACACCGGGAACCGCGTGGATACAGCCCCGGCACCTCAGGGATACAGCCCTGGCCTCGCACGGATACACTCCCAGCACCCCACGGATACATCCCGGCACTCCGTGGATGCTGCCCCCAGCATCCCGTGGATACAGCCTCGGCATCCCGTGGGTACAGCCCGTGGATACAGACTCAGCACTCCGTGGATACACCCCCAGCACCCCATGGATATGCTCTCTGCACTCAGTATATGAACCCCCTCAGCCCCCCCCCGGCTGCCCCCGGGTACCCCAGCGAGCCCCCAGCCCCGGGTTGTTCCCGGGGGGCTGCAGCCCCTCCCTCATCCCCCGGCCGCTCCCGCCCCGTCCCTGCGGCACCGGCACGAACCGCGCCGGGAGGGGGGACACGGGGACAAGGGGGACATGGTGGGGACACAAGAACACGGGTCAGGGGCTGCCTGGGACCCCCCGAGCGCGGCTGAGACTCCGTGCGGCTGTCGGGGACACCCTTGGGACCTCCTTGGGACCTTTGGGACATCCCTGGGACCTTACGGGGGAGTGGCTGGGACCCCCGGGGGGCTGCCTTGGGGACACCCCTTCTCTTAGGGACACCTCTTCTCTTAGGGACACCCCTTCCCTTGGGGACACCCCCCTACTCTAGGGTCACCGCTATTCCATGGAACACCCCCTGCCCTGGGGACACC